TGCTGTGAGCTGTGATGCCACGGCCCTCTACCCAGGGGGACAGCTTGAGGCTCTGTCTCAAAAAAAAAAAAGACCCTAGTTCCATTCAAATGTTGCTATATATAACCTCTTTCTAGACTTGGGGGTTTTGACTATTTTTTGTTTTCTATTTTTAAAAGGAAAAATGGATTAATAAGACATAAAAGCATTGCTGAGGTTTCACAGAATCTTCGACAAATTGAAATTCCCAAGGTGTCCAAGAGAGCTACAAAAAAAGTAAGTAAGCTTCAATAGATAAGAAATGACACCAAGAGAGTTGACTGTTTTGGCTTGAGCTGACACAATAAATAAGAACAATAAGTAGTGTCTCTACTTTTAGGAAATGGAATTCATAAGATGCAGAAATAATATTAAATGTTCTTATGAATGTTTGTTAAACTATAATCCAAGAAGTAAAAAAATGTGTATTTGTTGGGCAGCACCTGTGGCTCAATGAGTAGGGCACCGGCCCCATATACTGAGGGTGGTAGGTTCAAAACTGGCTCCAGCCAAACTGCAACAAAAAATAGCCGGGTATTCTGGCGGGCACCTGTAGTCCCAGCTACTCGGGAGGCTAAGGCAAGAGAATCACCTAACCCCAAGGTTGCTATGAGCTGTGACACCATGGACTGTACTGCGGGTAACAAAGTGAGACTCTGGGGGCAGTGTCTGTGGCTCAAAAGGGTAGGGCACTGGCCCCATATGCCGGAGGTGGCGGTTCAAACCCAGCCCCGGCCAAAAACTGCAAAAAAAAAAAAACCAAACAAATATGAATTTGTTAAGAGATTAACCATTTTACCAGGAGTGTCATAGTTAATGGTAATATGAGGAAAAACAGCAAGTAAAAGTTAGGAATGAATAAAGTGATTCAAAACTTTAAATAAGGAAACTAATGAAATAATAACTAAAATAGTCACTGAAAAATAGTACACCATAGTAGGACTTTGTTGCATACCAGCCAGTACTTTTCAGTAAATTAAGTTTTACTTCAATAATAAGACAGTAGTACCACCTTATCTACAAGGGGTATACTCAAAGACCCCAAGTTGATACCTGAAACTGGATAGTATTGAATGAACCCTGTATATACTATTTTTTTCTATACATATATACCTATGATGAAATTTAGTTTACAAATTAGGCACAGAAAGAGATTAACAGTCACTAATAATGAAAGAGAATAACTTTCATGTAGCCATGTACTGTAAGAAAAATTATATGATGGTTTCTCTCAAAATATTATGGTACTACTATTTTTTTTTTAAACAGAGGCTCATTGTGTCACTCTTGGTAGAGTGCAGTGGCATCACAGCTCACAGCAACCTCCCAACTCTTGGGCTTAAGCAATTCTCTTCCCTCAGCCTCCAAGTAGCTGGGAGTACAGGCACCTGCCACAACATCCAACTATTCTGTTGTTGTTGCATGTTGTCATTGTTGATTTTAGCTGGCCCGGGCCGGGTTCGAACCTGCCAACCTCAGTATACATGACTGGTGAGCTACGGGCACTGCCTATCATACTGTTTTGTATTCACCCATTTTCAGGCTGTGGTTGACTGTTGGAAAGTGAAACCTCAAGTAAGGCGGGACTATTGAATTTTTCTGTGGCAGTAGGTATGCAACCAATAAAAAGAACCCTAGCTGGAATCTGTTTACTCAGTGGAATTAATGTCTTCCAAAGGAAAGAAGGGAGACTAAAAATACAATAAAATTGCATTCTGAGAAGAATTAAAATTCTATGAGAAATAGTTTTAAAAGTATTAATCATTACAATAATGGTTCTCTGTTTCTAGATGTTTATAGCTGTCCTTTGGAATTGGAGGTGGAATTTCTTAAAAGAGTTAGTGGTGTTCACTTTTAAGTGAACTCCCATATGAATAAAATGCAGATCTTACATATCTCGTAGTCTCAATTGAAAGTGTAAAATTCAAGTGGATGGCCAAAAGTTATCAGACCTTTATTCTCACTAGATTTTAGAGTGATTTGCAAATCTTTCTGGGATTCTTTGAAATGTTTGTTTTAGATTGACCAAGACAGTTTGCTTCTTTAAGACAGATTTATTGAGATCAGTATGTGATTTTGGTTAGGAAGAATGTATTTGCATGTCGAAGTCAGTACTATAGGGCAGTATTTTGCAACCTTTTTTATTTCATGGCACACTTGAACCTCTAGTTAAACTTCCATGGCATACTTAAATTATGTTGATTAAAAAAAAAAGTAAAAAAATGTATATGCTTTGCTTTGAACTTCTTCTGAAAATAATTTAATTGTCTGTAAAAATTTTTGAGGCACACCTAAGATCTTTTCATGGTGCACTAATGTCCAGTGGCACACCATGGGTTGAAAATCATGGCCATTTAGTTGTTTACCTGAAAGACTAGGTGGTAGGTTTTTAATAGAATAAATCTGAGTCCTCTGAAGGATCAATATAGTTAGCTCAGGAAGCAGTAAACTTGTACCATGAGTATAGAAACATAATATTAATTACTTATATACATGTTAATTTCTTTGCATGTCTTAACTCAGAAGAGCACAGCGATTAAAAAAAGGTTTGGTCCTGTTGTAGTACCTCCTGGACCTACTCACCTAATTTTCCTTTCAGTTAACAAGAATTCACAAACACTTTTCTATAAAGGAGCACATAATGAATGTTGTGGCCTTTGTAGACCATGTAGTCTCTGTAAACATTTACTCAATTAACCTCTGGTGAGAAAGCAGCCAGAGATAATATGTAAACAAAACATGGCTGTGTTTAAATAAAACTTTATTTTCAAAAACAAGAAGTAGCCCAGATGTGGTCTGAATCTTGTAGTTTGCTGACCTCCGGATTAGGAAATTGGTTTTTTGTTTGTTTGTTTGTTTGTTTTTGAGACAGAGCCTCAAGCTGTCCCCCTGGGTAGAGTGCCGTGGCATTACAGCTCACAGCAACCTCCAACTCCTGGGCTCAAGCGAGTCTCCT